AATTGCGAGCGAAGCGGAGCTTTCCCTTCCCGCCCCTCCTCTTGGCAAAAGCTGCGCTCTTGGCATTGAAGGAGGCCACTTTGATGCTCAAAGCGTGGGAGCTTTTGGAGGACTTGAGCGGGGGCCGATGTCCCAGGTCGTCAGAAGCCTCAGACGCCACGGGGGCTGCACTGAAACCTTGAACCGAAGGAGTGGGGTACGCCTGGGCCAACCCCTGAGCCGGGCGCTCCAACCACTCCCATTCGCGAGCAGGCCCATGCTTGGTGGCCTCGGCCCACAGTGGGGGAACGAAACATGGCCCCCATTGTTCGGAACCAACAAGACCCGCAATGTGGTCTGCTAGGGAGTTCCATGGGTGCCCCTCATGTCCCTTGACGCGGCAAATCCTCAACGGGGGAGGGTCGTGTGTAGGCCATCTCTCCTTGGCGCGAGTCAGGGCTATGTCAAACATGATCACGAGCATGCATGCAATTTTGTTCTTTTCCGAGACCGTAGCTGCACCGTAGACATAGTCGCACACGTTCTGCGAGTCCGTGTGAATGACCGCTGGGGGGTGGTGCTGGTCGCTGATGATCGCCATCAAAACCCAGACGACGGCTGCGCACTCGACATCCGTGCTGCCCAGCCCGCCCCGTCCGCGCGGGGTCAGAAAGGAACTCAAGAAGGGGGCCGCCCACACACCCTGGAACGAGCACCCCAAGTGATCTGTACCGATACGGACCGCGGCCCAGGCCCCCGAAGCGTCATCCCCATGTCGCAACGAACCATCGGTAAAGTACGAGACATCGTCCCATACGGAGTCCCTCGGAGGACAGAGCCCAAGAGCCCAAGAAGATTCCACTGGCAAATCCTGAGGAAGCCCGAATACCCAAGACATAGCCGCCACTGAGGTGACAAGTTCCTGGATGGCCGGTCCTCGCTCGAAGTGACACCTCAAGTGCGTAGGAGGAGAGGGAAGCAAGGTTGTGGGCTCGCTGCTGCCCGCATGCTCCTCGGAACTTCCTGATTGATCAGGACTAGCTTCAAAAAGGTGGGGAGGGGACATATGACCCATGTCCTCTTCCCCAGTGACCGACAAGGATGCCCGTGGCGATGACTCCTGCACTTCCTCGCTGTAACAAGGGCGCTGGTCCTCAATCTCCACTGTAGACAAAAGTGGTCCGAGCTCGTGGGCATCGGACAGTGAATCCCTAATAGGGTCGACTAGGCTGGCCTGGTCACGTGCCGTCTCCCCCCGACCGTGATCCTCCCCACTCCCTCCCATGTGGCCATCAGATCTACGTCTATGGATCCCCACTGACGGATCTGTGATGACTTCGCGCTGCGTTGTATAAGGGGCCTGTGAAGCTAGAGCCTGCGATCCACAATCGGCCTTCAAACATGATTTTAATTCCCTGGGATAAGTAGAAGAGGGGGCAAACGGAAACCTTGAACTCTGAGAGGAGGAGGTCAACTTTTCTCCAGGGTGAAAGGCTCTAATCATGCACTCCCCGAAAGTTACTCTTCGCTCTGCCGTGGATCTTTCCTCGGCGGCGATTCCCCTGTGTGCCCTGAGGGGCTCCTCTTGCCCCCTGGGGGGGTCATAAAAACCGACGGACCCACGGGCGGCGCCAGGAGCGGGTCCTCTATCCCCTGGGTCGGGTGCATGGGCTGGGTAGGGGATAAAAAAGGGGAGTGCGTATCCTGAGGGCCTGGCATCATCTCAGCATCAGCTTTGGTCCCTTGTGTCCCATATGGATCCTCCGCGACCTCTGTGGGCTCGATGCCCGGGTCCGCCACGGGCGTGGGCATGTCCGGCTGGGCCGCGGGGGTGCTCGTCGGGCTGGCCTGCACCTCGATGGGCGGCTGCTGGTGGCCGTGCGCCCCCTCCTCGGACTTGGTCCTCTCGTGCTCCTCCGCCGTCGCACTCGCACTGGTCGCCGTGAGGTGGCCAATCAACATTGCCATCTGATGGTCCGTCTGCTGCTGCTTCTTGATGAGTACCTTGATCATCTCACCGATCGCCTGAACCTCAGCACTCGGGGGCGGTGGCTGCCGTGCTGGCGGCTGCTGTACTGGCGGCACAACTCTCTGCTGAGGCGGCGGTGGCATGGAAGGCGGAAATCCCATGTTGCACTGCTGCATGGGCACGGGACCGCCTGAACACTGCGGCTGTGGGGCTGGTGGCGGCGGTGGGAATGTTGTCCTCTCCGTACGTGGATCCGCCCCCATCTGCATCGTCGGGATGAATGTGCTGAAACCGCGTGCTCCTGGCGCATCTTCTCCGACCATGTAGTCCTCCAGCTCCTCTAACTCATCTATCGCGGCCTGCCAAGCATACAGGTCCGTCTCCGACTGCTTGTAGTCGGATTGTAACTCTCCGAGCTTCACCGAGAGGTTGCGAATGTGCTCTTGACACCTATCTCGCTTCGACTTCAACTCGGCTAGCTGGTCATTTAGCTTCTCGCACGTGCTCATCATATACTTGAGACACGATATCTCACGTACGAAACCCTGTGGATCATCTTTGCCCGCCTTGCGGCTGATGATGATGAGCCTTCCCAACTCGAACATGCGCTGCTTCGTCCTCGTCTTGTACGACTTGATTCCTGGCACATCCGTGGGGACCTGCTCATATCCCAGGAAACGCATTGCCTCAGTCGTTTCCGACCTTTTCATCGTCACTACCCTGCCGATGAGCTGCTTCACCTCTTGCTCCTCCCGCTTCAACTCCTTCTGCTGGTGCTCCTGACGGATGGTCTGCCGCGTCCGACTGGACGTGCGGGGCCGTTCCTGATCAGGGCTTCGAGGGAGAACTCGCTGACTCCAATGACGACCACATAGACACTTCCAATGGTGGCCCTTGACAAACCTGCCACACGCGCAGTCCCATGTCTGCTGGGGGCCTCCTTGGCGATTCATCGCAAAGATTGGGGAACTGTGGTGGTTCCTAAGGAGGGATCGAGCTTTGGAAAGGGCAAGAATCAGGCGGGCGCTGGTGCGCTTCAAGCGCTGGCGCCTATGCCAAGGAGCTTCCTTGGCCGTAGTGAAGAATCTGTCGGTCGCGGCCTCTCTGAAGGCACGCCTAGGGTCGGGCTCCCTGCCTGGGCCAGACGCCTAGGGCTCCTCCTCCACCCCCTCCTCCTGCTTCTCCTCCTGCTCCTCCTCCTGCTCCTCCTCCTGCTCCTCCTCCTCCTCCTCCTTGCTCCTGCTCCCTGCTCCTGCTCCCTGCTCCTCTTTCCGTCCCCTGTCCTGCTCCGCCCTCTTTTCCTCCTCCTCCTCCTCCTCCTCCTCCTCCTCCTCCGCCTCCTCCTCCTGCTCCTATTCCTCCTCCTTCTGCTCCCATCTCCTCCTCGTCCTCCTGCTCCTCCTGCCCCCCTGCTCCTCCTTCCTTCCCCTGTCCTACTCCCCCCCCTCCTCCCTCCTCCCCGAGACGCATTCCCCTCCTGCTCCCCCCCCCTCCCCCTCCCCGTTCCCTGAGATTCGACGTCATGACACAACTGCAGCATCCTTCCTGCCGCATTTCTCGAGCCCAATAGATCCGTCGATCAGCGAGGACCCCGAGGCACCATTCGGGGCAAAAACGCTCGGTGCACAAATATAGACGCCTGGACCTCAATGTTGCTACATTCGCCCTGCCCCCTCTTCCCCCTCCTCCGCATGCCCTGGAGAAACAACACATTTCCGGATACCGCTACTCCCCGAACCTCTCAGGGGGTGCGCTCTGAGCAGAAATTCTGAGAGAATCCCCCTCCCCTTCCTACTTTTGCTTCTCCTCCTACTCTCGAGCTGCCTGTTAGAATAGGAACCGCTTCATCAAGAACGAAGCTCCTTGTTGTTACCAAAACGCGCCTAGATGCACGAGGAGGGCCAGAGGAACAATCACGGAACGACCTGAGGAGCAGCGAGCCCCTTGCGAAGCCACAACGGTGGTTATCTCAGCGTCTTGACTGCACTCCGGACTCCAAAACACAGTTTGGGGGGGTACGTTTCGAGGAGGGGGTCTGATCTGAACTGTCTTGGAGGGTTCCAGTGGGGTCTGGGCAAACGGCCGCCCTTTCATGGCTGGTCTGGGAGCGGGGAGGGTCTACAACTGCTCGTATGGGAGGGCCGTGACCCCCTCCCTTTGACCACGAGATTCTTCGAGTGCCCTGTGTTGGGTGACTCAAATGGGGTCCAGCTGAAAGGGTGTGGTGCAATAGATTTTGGGCAAATGGATTGCAAACATATTGCGCCGGAGAATAATATTGCATTGTTTTGCAAGTAATGTACTGCACACGAAAATCTAGCGATACACTTGCGCCCCTGAATGTTTTGTACGCCATCAATGTATTGCAACCCCAATTGCACCAAATCTATTGCACTACCCCCTTGTCGCTGGACCCAGTTTTGGGTCAACCCGACCTGTCCCCCTCCTGCTCGGGCCATGACAGCAGGCAGCTGGGAGGAGGAGCAGGGCGAGGGCGAGGACCAGCAACGGGAGGCTCCACGGGGTCCGAGCTGTGGAAAAGGGGCCGGAGGACTGCGCCGCCTCGCCGACGCACCAGCGACGTCCGCGATGCACCTCCTCCTCCTCCTCCTCCTCCTCCTCCTCCTCCTCCTCCTCCTCCTCCTCCTCCTCCTCCTCTCCTCCTCCTCCTCCTCCTCCTCCTCCTCCTCCTCCTCCGCCTCCTTTTTCCTCCTCCTCCTCCTCCTCCTCCCCCCTCCTCCTCCTCCTCCTCCTCTTCCTCCTCCTCCTCCTCCTCGAATTCCTCATCGAGCCGCATCGGCGAAGCCTCGGCGATGCGGCGCGCTCCTCGCAGTTGGCCCGTTTGCTCTCAGACCCTACATGTGGGAGGCCTCCTGGCAGTCCCGAAAACCCGACCGAGATGTTTTCTCATCGAGCGGGTGGGGCGAGAATCGCACGGACTGCCCAACGAGTGAACAAAAACTCTACCGGGCCTGTGCCCGTGTGACACTGCCGCGCACGCGAGGGCGCCCGGGCAATACAGCAAAGGCGCACCGCCTCACTGCCAGGACGATCAGCCAGACTCCGGGCTGCGGCGGAAGTACCTCGGCATGGGAGAGGAGTGAGGGGCAGCGATAGGCTGGGCTACAGGCAAAGGGGGGGAAACATCGACCTGGAATCGGCGACATATACATTGCGATGGGCACCCCATAGCGGAGCCATACTCTCTCGGCGATCAATGGGCGATCGGGGGTCGTTGCATCCCCCCTATGCCTGTCCCCCCCCCTACCGTTGCCCCTGAAGGAGGGGGGCCCAAAGGACACCGTCCCCAGATCCTGGACCCAAGAGCTCTCCCTGGGGCACAGACTTCATCCAGAGTTGGTTTCCTAGGCCAACCCATTGTCAACGCCTATTTTCGGCGACGCGCGAGAGTGACCGTGATGTAAGAATGACCGCTGGTGCACGGATTGTTGCTGGACCGTGGGGGGAACAGACACAAACGCGCACGGCGCTGCTATCGCATCGCGCTCGGCGATCGGGGGACCCCAATGGGCCCGCACCGGTGGTCTCGCGCGCGCACTGCGCGCGCGCTCAAGTTCTAGCTAGATTCATGATCATCGTCATGATTGTCATCCTCATCCCAACCGTCTTCATCGTCATCGTAATGGTCATGGTCACCTTCACCATAAACATCACAATAATCATCATTATCATCATACTCATCAGCATCGTGATCACCATCGCCATCATTGTCATCGTACTTCTCAACATCATCATCCGCATCATCAACATCATGTTGGTCGTCGTCGGCGTCGTCGGAATAGTCATCGTCATCATCATCATCAACGTCATCGCCGTCGCCCCCCGGTCCACTGCAATCCCCTTACCCTCCTCCTCTTCCCGTTCTCCCTCTTCCCAACATCTTATGTTCATCCTTTTCCTCGTCGGCGTTTCCCTGAAAAAGGATCCCTGTTTCTTCAGCTCCTCCTCCTCCTCTTCTTCCTCCTCCTTCTCCTCCTCCTCCCTGTCTTTCCCGCTCTTCGGTGTCCCTCCTTGTGCTCCTTCGCCTTCTTCACCTCCTTCCTCCTCTCGTGCCCTCTTCATCCTGCGCCCCCCTTCCTTCTCGTCCTTAGCATTCCTCCCCGAGCCAGATAATCAGATAACAAAATGACATCGCAAATTCGCTGAGCACCCCGCTCGCCCGTAGCTGGGTTGCGTCTGCAGCCACAGCGTGGGGCGCGCGCCGAAGCCTGCGCCGCGCCGAGAGGGCGCGGGCGCCACGAGGCCTCGGTGCTGGTCGCAGCACGACCCAGCAACGGGCGAGAAACGGGGCGGGCACGGGCGGGTCAAATCCCGAGCGCGGGGCGCGCGCCCCAGGCACACACAAACCTGTGGTACCTGCGCGCGGCCGCGACGGGCAGCGGCCGCGCGCGGGGGCGCGTGGGCCTGCCCACATCGCCTGCGGCGCGCCGCGGCGCGCGCGAGCCAAGCGGCGGCGCGGCGACTGCTCGCGCCGGCGTCCGCCGCGCGCGCCTGGGCCAGCGAATGTGCGCGATGGAACCAGGGGCCGAACTCGTTCCATACACACAAATTCGCTGAGCACCCCGCTCACCCGTAGCTGGGTTGCGTCTGCACCCACAGCGTTGGGCGCGCGCCGAAGCCTGCGCCGCGCCGAGAGGGCGCGGGCGCCGCGAGGCCTCGGTGCTGGTCGTAGCACGACCCAATGCAACGATGCGACCAGCGCCGTGCGCCGCCCACCCTTGCGCACGCGGAGCGCGGCGCTCGGGCGCGCGCCGGGATGTCGCAGCCACGCTGGGTGTCTGAGCTGCTGTCAGAGCTGTCCGAGCAGTCGGACGCGGCGTTGCGCGCGGCCGCTACCCTCTCACTTTCGACCCGGACGCGGTCGATGTAAGCCAGGTAGGCGTTCGACGCCCAGCCTCCGCGTTCCTTCGTTACTGCGGTCGGTGCACCCGCGCGATCGATGTCATCGGCGTGCCCCCTTGTGCGCGCGAGAGGGGCGGAGGGATGTGCGCGCCGGGCCGCGCGGGCGGTCGCGGGTCGCGACCTCCGTATGTCGTGGGTGCCGAATAGATTGGCACTGTCCACGCCTATCCTGGACAATAGGGACCGAAGGATACGCCGGGCATCCGACCCTGAGAACTGCGCGAACGGCTGAGCGCCTACTGCTGTGCCGCGCAGCAACGGAGGCAGCGCGTGCACGGCGCGCGTCGCGGCGTGCGCGCGGCACCAACACCTCCGGCGGAGTATCGACGCGCACGGCTTGTTCTTCCGCCTTGACAACCAGAGGAGTGCCTCGTCTGCCGATATGGCCAACTCCGCCTAGCGCGTTCGGCGCGCGCGCGGGCGCCCCAGCGCGCGCGCTTCCAGACGGCACGGCCCGCCGCGCGGCCGCGCGTCAGAGTGTTGCCGCACCGCCGGATGGGTAAACACTCGGATGGTAGGCGAAGCAGGAATATATACGTAATTAGAAACATGGTGGATGCCACCTGCGCGACCGCTGGGTTGACTGGCGAATGCCGCGCGGCGGCCCCGCCTTTTCTTCCTCGCTGCGACCATGTAGGCCAATTAATTGCGCAATCATAGCGTCACGAACGAAGCGCGGTTCGCGGGGCGTGTGTCCGCCGCGCCGCGCAATGGCTGCCTTGGCCTTCCTGGGCGCGCGACGCGCGGCCTCGCGCGCGCGGTGACGCGGGGGGCCGACACCGGAGCAGCCGTCTGTTGCCGAAGGCGCTCGTGTCCAGACGTAGCACTTCGCACGCTGTCTGCACGTGCCCGCAATAATTCCGGAACGCGCCCGCTCTGGAGAAAGTGCCCGACCAGCACAACAGATCGTCCTGGGCGCACGCCGCAGATTATAGGAGTCCGCGGGCCGCGCAGGAGGGGTTGCGCGGATTGGTCGCGCCTCGCTGGGCGGCAGCGCGAGATGCCGGTCACGTCCGAGTACGTCTATCGCGAAATTGAGCCAGCACCGCGCACAGCTTTCAAAGATTGGCGGGTGGATGGTATAGTGCTGACCAGGACCTCCAATCGGGCCCGTTCCGCCCAGTCGCGCCGCTCCCCCTGCGAGGGCATGGGGCACGCAAACCACTGCGCGTTGCGACGCGGTCCCCCTGGCACGGGTGGCGAGGGCGGTCCTGGCCGCGCCATCGCCCTTTCGAATGCAGGCGCTATCGCTGTCAGGCGCTCTAGAGAACGGCTCCGCGCATCCCCGCTACGCGCGGAAGAGGGTCCCGCGGTGCACAGGCGATCGAGCTCCGACAGGAGGGGTGCTGGCAGGACATGCAGGTCCGCGATGCACCTCGGCTGCGCCCCAACGAGATCCTGGTGGGTCTCGAACCTTTGCTCCGCCAGTACGCTGGCCGCACGCGCGATATCGGAGGCATCCCCTGCGCGCCGGCGGGCGCGCGCGCGCGCCGCGGGCGCGCCAGCCGAGCAAACTTTTATTCCGCACTGGTGTAAATCGCGGGCGAGGCGAACCGATGCGACACTGCCTGTGCGGCGAAGACGCCGACCCGCGCCCGCGCGCGCCGCTCGCCTAGAAAACGCTTCACGCCTCTTGATATGCCGGTCACCGCGTCGCGCCCAGGGCCCCGGGGGCGGTCGGGCCAGCGCGGCCACCCGCACGAGTCGACGGCGCTCTTCGCTCGTGCCAGCCCGATCGCACCAGCCGGCGGTTTCGCCGCCGCGCCCCTGCAGCTGCATGAGAGAACGGCAGCCATGCCGAACGCATAGGGCCGCGGCCTCGGCCGCCGCCGCATCGCTGAAACGCCCTGGGAAGCTACGGCGAAAGTCGCGGGCGAGCTCCATCTTGCGCAATGCCGGCTAGCGTGGCAGCCGGTTCCGCTTGCGCGCGCGCGCCCCGCGGTGCGCGCACGCGGGGCAGCCTCGCTAACACGCAGCACTCGCGGGCGGTGGCCACAGCGGAAGGCCTCCGCGAGTTGTGCGCGGACCCTCTTTCCCCCCAGACGCGAGAGCAAATCCCGCTCCTCGCGGCTGGGAAAGTCGGCCAGGTTCCTTGCCGACTCCACGCGCTCTACCCACGCGTGGACCTGCCGCGGTGGCGTGGCCGCGCGCGCGTGCCTGGCGGCGCGCGCTTGACGCGCTGCCTGGAGCGCCACTGCCGCCGACCAGAATTGGTGCACGAGAAAAGTGTGGTCGCGTGACTTTGCGGCGCCCTTCCTGAAAGTGCACTCAGCGACGCTGTTGTCTGAGAAGAAGACCACGCGGCGGCCGGCGAGCGCGCGTGCCCACGTGGACAGAGCCACGCACTGCGCCAGCATCTCGAGCGCCGCGATCAGCTGATCATTGCGGGCGCGTAGTCCGCTGCACCAATCGCGTAACGCCCGACGCGCGCGCGCCGCGGACCGTCGCGCTGAGACCTGAGAAATTCTTCTGGCGGGGCCATGTCGGCCCACTCGAACGTGTCTTCTGTGAGTAAAATTGCGGCGAGTCGCGCCGGGCTGCCGCGGGCGTCCGCCAGCGCGAGCACCAGCGGGCGCGCGTCGCGGCATCGCCAGGGCCGCGCGCGGGCGATGTCCCGTGCCAGAACGTCTCGCCACCAGCGCAGCGCGTCGCTCGCGTGCCCCGCGAGGCGGGGCAGGGAACCGCATGCCTGGTCGAAGAGCTGTCGCACCATCGAGCGCCCGGCGCGCTCGAACACGCGGCAGCATGCCCACGACAGGCGACCCGCCATCTTCGACGCCTCGCCGGCCGTGAGCGCGCCTGACCTCAAGACGCCGTCGATGACGGCAATCCACTGCTTTACTTCAGCGTCGTCGGGCTTGACGTGGAAGCCCGATGCTGACGACCGGGCGCGCAGCCCCAGGATCGCGATCGACGGGCCCCACGCCATTTTTCGGTCCTGCGTGGCGCTGGGCCCGAGGAGAGCGCGCACCAGCCTCGCAAAGCACTTGTCGGCGTGCTCCGCGACGCCCTTCCTCTCAATCGAGAAGAAGTCGTCAACGTAGCACAACGCCGGGAGCCACAGCAGCTTGCGCGCCGCGGCCGCCAGGAAGGCGCCCGCGCGCTCCCATCCGTGCACGCAGGCCAGGCCCCCGCAAGGCGGCGTGATGTGCTGGGCGGC